TCTAAGAATTAGCTCTTCTGCATTGGGAAAATTTATAGATGTCCCAACTAACCTCCCTAACCAAATTATTTTAAGTGGAATAGTCCAAAAGTTTAATGTTTAATAAATTAATTTATTCATAAATGAAAGATCATTCAACTATTTTATTTCTTAACCTTGGTAATATATTCATAGGTTTCCATCATGGCAATCTTTGCATGTTTTTGTATGTCTTAAATATTGCATAATAAGAACACTTAGGTAAAAGATGAACTTTTCAAGCAGTATCTAATGGTAGTTTTATTAAATGATAAATTATCAAATGCTTGTTCCCTATGGAAGCCTTTAAGGAAAAGTTAAGACAGAGTATATTTTATGGGAAGAGATGGACTAACCATAATTAACCTCCATCCTATAGTCTTTCTGGTCATTTTCATAGGGATGATTCTCTCTGGGTCAGTAAGTACCTGTTTCTTCCATGTTTTTGGAACTTGATATTTCCACAAGGTTTGGTAACAGTGTTCCAAAGTCAAAATGACAAAAGAACTTTGCATTAGTATAGAGAATTAGAGCTGTAGTCAAATTTGGAGGAAATAAACTCCCTCTTTTCTTTATACTTAAAAGTCTTTTCATATTCATGTGCCTATGGTTAACATCTACTTTGGAGAAAAAAATATAATGGTCTGCAGTGTTATTTGCATATAAAATGCCTGCCAAAAAATTTCAGTCAAATATCAGTTAAAAACTTTAAAAAGAAATGTATTCTATTCCTATTATTCTGGGTGCTAAATGAATTTAAGAAGGTCTATGGTAAACTAAAGGGTTTCTGAGTTCAGTGGCTCTGAGATCCAGAAAACTATAATGTATGAAGACCTAGAAAAACTATGGATGGTCAGCCTCAAAAGGAGATGGCTAGTGCATAACTTATTCAGGCTTGGCACTGGGTGTGAGTAGAGTAGATAATCAGTATACACTTGTTGAATGAGTGAATGAATGAACCAATGAACCAAACAAACACATAGTGGAGAAGCAGTAGTATGGAAGTGGGAGAGCAGCACCCAGTGTCAGAGCAGTTGATGGCAATCACCTTTATACCCTCACACTTTATACCATGCCTGATACATGCTTGGTACTCAATGAATACCTGATTGGATTTTGGCTCAGTCGATGATTATCATATTTAAACCAGCCCGCTAGTCAAACGAGATGTGTCACAAAGCTCGAGCTCCTACTTCCTCAACACACATCTACTGTGGGCCAGGAACTCAGCCAAGCAGGGAAGGGGGCCAGAGGCTAGACAGCCATCAGCAAGGGTATCAGAAGGCTCAAGTCTCTCTCTGCACTGCAAGTTCTTTTCCAACATCCAAACAAGAAGACCCTATGTTATATTTTTAAGCAAGAGAGCCTTTTAAGGTCTGTTGAATGCCCATATATTTTTTAGTCTTTTATTAAAACTCCCAAATGATTATCAGGACTTCAAGGCAGACACCCTGGGGGTGACAATACCCCCAGCAGGAGGGAAGATCTCCTAGTCTGAGAAGTACAAACTTTAATTAGCATAATTACCAGCTCAGCCTCCTCTCTAGACAGCCTCTTCCTCAGGGCGTTGGTGTCCTCAGTGTGAGGGCACACTCTCCAGTCTGTGCTGCCCTGCCTCAGTCTCCTCACACACCCTGACAGTGACACAAGCAGGCCACCAAAACACTGCCACATGCACAGTGACAGGTGTGTTCACGTGTCCTATAGCAGCAGTTTTCCAAGGCTTGACACACCTCACTGGTGGGTGATGAAATTATTTTAGTGACTCCCCAAAAAACATGTATTTTTCAAAATAGAATGTTTTTGAATAGAATCTTTCAAAAAAAAACAACATATTCTCAAAACAGGGCTTAGGCCTGAGGAAACCCAGTTTTCTGAAGTTGCTGGCCAGCAACCACAATGGAACATCCATCCTAGCAGCACGGGCCAACACAGAAGCCCCTGGGACTACTGCCCAGGTCCTGGTGGAGGCTTCCAGAGAAAGGGACAAAAAGTCATCTGCCATCTCTGCACACCTGGTGACTTCCAAGGAGCTCATCTCTCACCCAGCCCTGCTGTCCTCTCCACAGGGCAGTCAGCCATCAGTGTCAACTGTGATGACATTGCCAAGTGATCTCCAAGGCCTCCCACCAGCCCTGTCCATCTCCACATGAAAGGAGAGGGTAAGAAGGCGATTAAGTCTGAAAAAAATGAGACAGCACCGCAGTGGGGGAAAACAGACACACGCAGGGAGCCTGGGATAAAACAGCAATGAAAGGCAAGAAATGGAGGAAAGCAGTGACAGGAAGACAGACAAAGAAACTCAGAAAAAAATAAACAGAAAGGCCAAAGAACAAAGAGGAAGGTTTTAAAAAGCAAACCAAAAAATAAGTGTAAAACAAAAAGGAGAACAAAAGAGAAAGAGAATGGAAGTCACCATGAGGATGAGAGACGGTCCCTAATTCCATGCTGCTTTATTCCTTATTCCTTCTGAAGGCACAGTGCCAAGCAGGACTGGGAGGAAAGAAACAGGGGCTCCCTCAAAGCTCCCAAGCATCCTTCCCCAACTCCTGAGTCTGGTCCTCACACCGACTTTCATCAAGGAAATAGAACACAGGCTCAGGGGCTTTGGAAAAGACTCCAGAAGCTGCCAGGTTCCAGCTGAGCTAGAGACAAACATCCTATCCTGCCAGGCACTGCCAGGTGCCACCTCAGGGGTTCCCAGCCCTGATCCCCTCCTCCAGAGACATGGCTTCAGTCGCCAGGCAATGCCTACCCGTCACAAACTCCAGTGTCTTGTCACTCTCTGAAATCCCTGTTTCCCCACCTCCGTATGCTCCACCTTTCATCTGCACATTTGAGAGTGTTCAGGTATTTTTCTGGTGGCCTTACGGAACTCAGCTCCTTTTCACATTTCAGATAACTCAGAGAATAAAGAGCAGAGGCCTATAACTATTGCCTGGCCTGGCAGCATGGGAATTTCTTGCTTTATGCACAAAAGGAATGCATTCTGCCTCTACCTTCTAGTGTTGCCCCCTTCCTTCAGGGGTTCAGAGAGTGTTCAGCCTGGCACTTGCTCCCTCTCTGGACCACTCATTTTCATAAGCTTCCAAATCACATGGAAGAGGCACAGCAAGTGCTTGAAGAACAGAACCTAGCACAGTCCCAGGTCATTTGTAAGGGGCTCAGACCTGGACCAAGTGGGGAGTCTAACCTCAAACCCCCTCCACCTCTCACTCAAAGCATGAAGGATTGAACACAAATCCATGTCCTTTCAGCTAAAATTAGCAGGAGCCAAGCTTATCATTACTTCTCACACATACTCCTACAGCAAAAAGACAGGGATCTCTCTAAAGGGAAAAGGAAAGGAAACTTCATATTGAAGAAATACCAGCCTCACAAAATCCAGTGCAGGGAGGCCCCACCAGCATCAGCCTAGGCAGCAAAGGGTCTTAATGGGCAAGCATTGTGTGTTGAAAACAGAGTGTCTGGGGCCCAGACAGAGAGTAGGGCAAAAGGGGAGGGAAGCCAGCACATGGCCAGGCGGGGCGCCAGAAGGAGATGAGGCACAGAGCTGAGGCCCCTGCCAGGCCTCTGTCCTGAAATCTGGGCCCAGGGTGACTCCTTGCCATATCCTATCTACTGGGTGCCATGTTCACCCCCCAAAATCTGAGATTTTTCCCTTAAAATGGAGATGAGGAGTGTGGGAGTCAGCTCAGCCAGCCAGCCTGGCACAGGTGGTCATGAGGGGTGGCCCAAGCCACTCGGAGCTCCTGGAGCTGCCTTTAAGGCAGAAGCACAGAGCATCTTGGAGGACTCCTGCTCTGTCTGTGGGAAGGTGGGCAAAACAGCCAAAATAAAACAAAAGCAAGGGCCAGGACCCAAAGGGGTCTCAGTTCCTGTTTGTCTGGACTCTCTGTGGGGTGCCTGTGTGCAGGATTTCTGCAGAAGATAGTCCATTTTGTTAAGCCTTTGAATATTCAAATTGAAAGTATCGCGCAATCATTGATTGTCAAATCATGGGTTTCTAGAGGTTTTAAATACTTGGCATGAGGGGGAAAAAACTCAAACCTATACCCGAAGGTATAAAACATTAATTCTGTTTGTCTCCTGCTCCAGCAACCTGGGTGCAGCTGGATGCTTTGTGAAACTTTAAAAATGTGGCATCTCTGCTTCTCTCCTTGCACAGGAGTTCTGCTAGGCGCTGAATCCCTGCAGCTACAGCATCCAGCCACCGACCCAACTTCTGCTGACAACGATGTCCGGTAACTCAGCTGCTTCTCCTGGGCTAGGGTCACGCGAGCCAGAGCCTTTTGCATCCGTGTGTATTTCCCCAGCTTTTCCTGCATGGAACAGAGAGGCACAAAGTCAGGGCATGAGAGTATGAGCCGGGGATCCCGAGGGCACGCTGTGGCCGCTCCCACTCAGCGCCTGCTCGTGATAGCACAGGGCCAGAGGCCGCGCTGGTCGCCGGGGACAGCCGCGTACCCCGGTCCCCCACCCGCCCTACCATTTTGCCACAGTTGTGACTCTGGGGCTGGCGGCGCGGACTCTGCGCGCCCAGGAGCGGCGGCGGGGGGCGGGGGAGCTAGAGGCTCACGTTGAGCCCGGGACTCGAGCAGGGCGCGCCGGACATAGAGAACTGGATGGTGGCGGTCCCTATGGGGACCCAGGGCCGCACCCGCCAACGCCCCCAGCCCCGAGCCGCGAACCGAGCGAGGAGGTTGGGGGGAGAAACCGGACAACCGAGCGGACGCGGCGCCCAGGCGCTGCGGGCCAGGCAGGGGTCCCCTGCGTCCGCGGGCTGAATGAGCGCAGCCTCGCTCCCTGGGGGGACCCCCAGCCCCCGGGACCCGGCCGGGGCCGTGCCGGGGGGTGCGCGGCCCCAGCGGTCCGGCTGCAGTCTCCGCAGCGACCAGGTGGGGCGCTGGCGGCCCGGCGTGGCACCAGGCGCCCAGGAGGGCTGCGCGGCCGCCCCATAGTATAGAGAATTAGAGCTGTAGTCAAATTTGGAGGAAATAAACTCCCTCTTTTCTTTATACTTAAAAGTCTTTTCATATTCATGTGCCTATGGTTAACATCTACTTTGGAGAAAAAAATATAATGGTCTGCAGTGTTATTTGCATATAAAATGCCTGCCAAAAAATTTCAGTCAAATATCAGTTAAAAACTTTAAAAAGAAATGTATTCTATTCCTATTATTCTGGGTGCTAAATGAATTTAAGAAGGTCTATGGTAAACTAAAGGGTTTCTGAGTTCAGTGGCTCTGAGATCCAGAAAACTATAATGTATGAAGACCTAGAAAAACTATGGATGGTCAGCCTCAAAAGGAGATGGCTAGTGCATAACTTATTCAGGCTTGGCACTGGGTGTGAGTAGAGTAGATAATCAGTATACACTTGTTGAATGAGTGAATGAATGAACCAATGAACCAAACAAACACATAGTGGAGAAGCAGTAGTATGGAAGTGGGAGAGCAGCACCCAGTGTCAGAGCAGTTGATGGCAATCACCTTTATACCCTCACACTTTATACCATGCCTGATACATGCTTGGTACTCAATGAATACCTGATTGGATTTTGGCTCAGTCGATGATTATCATATTTAAACCAGCCCGCTAGTCAAACGAGATGTGTCACAAAGCTCGAGCTCCTACTTCCTCAACACACATCTACTGTGGGCCAGGAACTCAGCCAAGCAGGGAAGGGGGCCAGAGGCTAGACAGCCATCAGCAAGGGTATCAGAAGGCTCAAGTCTCTCTCTGCACTGCAAGTTCTTTTCCAACATCCAAACAAGAAGACCCTATGTTATATTTTTAAGCAAGAGAGCCTTTTAAGGTCTGTTGAATGCCCATATATTTTTTAGTCTTTTATTAAAACTCCCAAATGATTATCAGGACTTCAAGGCAGACACCCTGGGGGTGACAATACCCCCAGCAGGAGGGAAGATCTCCTAGTCTGAGAAGTACAAACTTTAATTAGCATAATTACCAGCTCAGCCTCCTCTCTAGACAGCCTCTTCCTCAGGGCGTTGGTGTCCTCAGTGTGAGGGCACACTCTCCAGTCTGTGCTGCCCTGCCTCAGTCTCCTCACACACCCTGACAGTGACACAAGCAGGCCACCAAAACACTGCCACATGCACAGTGACAGGTGTGTTCACGTGTCCTATAGCAGCAGTTTTCCAAGGCTTGACACACCTCACTGGTGGGTGATGAAATTATTTTAGTGACTCCCCAAAAAACATGTATTTTTCAAAATAGAATGTTTTTGAATAGAATCTTTCAAAAAAAAACAACATATTCTCAAAACAGGGCTTAGGCCTGAGGAAACCCAGTTTTCTGAAGTTGCTGGCCAGCAACCACAATGGAACATCCATCCTAGCAGCACGGGCCAACACAGAAGCCCCTGGGACTACTGCCCAGGTCCTGGTGGAGGCTTCCAGAGAAAGGGACAAAAAGTCATCTGCCATCTCTGCACACCTGGTGACTTCCAAGGAGCTCATCTCTCACCCAGCCCTGCTGTCCTCTCCACAGGGCAGTCAGCCATCAGTGTCAACTGTGATGACATTGCCAAGTGATCTCCAAGGCCTCCCACCAGCCCTGTCCATCTCCACATGAAAGGAGAGGGTAAGAAGGCGATTAAGTCTGAAAAAAATGAGACAGCACCGCAGTGGGGGAAAACAGACACACGCAGGGAGCCTGGGATAAAACAGCAATGAAAGGCAAGAAATGGAGGAAAGCAGTGACAGGAAGACAGACAAAGAAACTCAGAAAAAAATAAACAGAAAGGCCAAAGAACAAAGAGGAAGGTTTTAAAAAGCAAACCAAAAAATAAGTGTAAAACAAAAAGGAGAACAAAAGAGAAAGAGAATGGAAGTCACCATGAGGATGAGAGACGGTCCCTAATTCCATGCTGCTTTATTCCTTATTCCTTCTGAAGGCACAGTGCCAAGCAGGACTGGGAGGAAAGAAACAGGGGCTCCCTCAAAGCTCCCAAGCATCCTTCCCCAACTCCTGAGTCTGGTCCTCACACCGACTTTCATCAAGGAAATAGAACACAGGCTCAGGGGCTTTGGAAAAGACTCCAGAAGCTGCCAGGTTCCAGCTGAGCTAGAGACAAACATCCTATCCTGCCAGGCACTGCCAGGTGCCACCTCAGGGGTTCCCAGCCCTGATCCCCTCCTCCAGAGACATGGCTTCAGTCGCCAGGCAATGCCTACCCGTCACAAACTCCAGTGTCTTGTCACTCTCTGAAATCCCTGTTTCCCCACCTCCGTATGCTCCACCTTTCATCTGCACATTTGAGAGTGTTCAGGTATTTTTCTGGTGGCCTTACGGAACTCAGCTCCTTTTCACATTTCAGATAACTCAGAGAATAAAGAGCAGAGGCCTATAACTATTGCCTGGCCTGGCAGCATGGGAATTTCTTGCTTTATGCACAAAAGGAATGCATTCTGCCTCTACCTTCTAGTGTTGCCCCCTTCCTTCAGGGGTTCAGAGAGTGTTCAGCCTGGCACTTGCTCCCTCTCTGGACCACTCATTTTCATAAGCTTCCAAATCACATGGAAGAGGCACAGCAAGTGCTTGAAGAACAGAACCTAGCACAGTCCCAGGTCATTTGTAAGGGGCTCAGACCTGGACCAAGTGGGGAGTCTAACCTCAAACCCCCTCCACCTCTCACTCAAAGCATGAAGGATTGAACACAAATCCATGTCCTTTCAGCTAAAATTAGCAGGAGCCAAGCTTATCATTACTTCTCACACATACTCCTACAGCAAAAAGACAGGGATCTCTCTAAAGGGAAAAGGAAAGGAAACTTCATATTGAAGAAATACCAGCCTCACAAAATCCAGTGCAGGGAGGCCCCACCAGCATCAGCCTAGGCAGCAAAGGGTCTTAATGGGCAAGCATTGTGTGTTGAAAACAGAGTGTCTGGGGCCCAGACAGAGAGTAGGGCAAAAGGGGAGGGAAGCCAGCACATGGCCAGGCGGGGCGCCAGAAGGAGATGAGGCACAGAGCTGAGGCCCCTGCCAGGCCTCTGTCCTGAAATCTGGGCCCAGGGTGACTCCTTGCCATATCCTATCTACTGGGTGCCATGTTCACCCCCCAAAATCTGAGATTTTTCCCTTAAAATGGAGATGAGGAGTGTGGGAGTCAGCTCAGCCAGCCAGCCTGGCACAGGTGGTCATGAGGGGTGGCCCAAGCCACTCGGAGCTCCTGGAGCTGCCTTTAAGGCAGAAGCACAGAGCATCTTGGAGGACTCCTGCTCTGTCTGTGGGAAGGTGGGCAAAACAGCCAAAATAAAACAAAAGCAAGGGCCAGGACCCAAAGGGGTCTCAGTTCCTGTTTGTCTGGACTCTCTGTGGGGTGCCTGTGTGCAGGATTTCTGCAGAAGATAGTCCATTTTGTTAAGCCTTTGAATATTCAAATTGAAAGTATCGCGCAATCATTGATTGTCAAATCATGGGTTTCTAGAGGTTTTAAATACTTGGCATGAGGGGGAAAAAACTCAAACCTATACCCGAAGGTATAAAACATTAATTCTGTTTGTCTCCTGCTCCAGCAACCTGGGTGCAGCTGGATGCTTTGTGAAACTTTAAAAATGTGGCATCTCTGCTTCTCTCCTTGCACAGGAGTTCTGCTAGGCGCTGAATCCCTGCAGCTACAGCATCCAGCCACCGACCCAACTTCTGCTGACAACGATGTCCGGTAACTCAGCTGCTTCTCCTGGGCTAGGGTCACGCGAGCCAGAGCCTTTTGCATCCGTGTGTATTTCCCCAGCTTTTCCTGCATGGAACAGAGAGGCACAAAGTCAGGGCATGAGAGTATGAGCCGGGGATCCCGAGGGCACGCTGTGGCCGCTCCCACTCAGCGCCTGCTCGTGATAGCACAGGGCCAGAGGCCGCGCTGGTCGCCGGGGACAGCCGCGTACCCCGGTCCCCCACCCGCCCTACCATTTTGCCACAGTTGTGACTCTGGGGCTGGCGGCGCGGACTCTGCGCGCCCAGGAGCGGCGGCGGGGGGCGGGGGAGCTAGAGGCTCACGTTGAGCCCGGGACTCGAGCAGGGCGCGCCGGACATAGAGAACTGGATGGTGGCGGTCCCTATGGGGACCCAGGGCCGCACCCGCCAACGCCCCCAGCCCCGAGCCGCGAACCGAGCGAGGAGGTTGGGGGGAGAAACCGGACAACCGAGCGGACGCGGCGCCCAGGCGCTGCGGGCCAGGCAGGGGTCCCCTGCGTCCGCGGGCTGAATGAGCGCAGCCTCGCTCCCTGGGGGGACTCCCAGCCCCCGGGACCCGGCCGGGGCCGTGCCTGGGGGTGCGCGGCCCCAGCGGTCCGGCTGCAGTCTCCGCAGCGACCAGGTGGGGCGCTGGCGGCCCGGCGTGGCACCAGGCGCCCAGGAGGGCTGCGCGGCCGCCCCCAGCCGCGGGGCCCAGCCCTCCCCGCGCGGCCCCCCCGCGCTCACTCCCGGCCGAGGGCGGCCGGAGGCGCACCGGGCTCTAGCGGCCGCCCTGCGGCCAGGCGTCCCGCGCCCTACTCACTGCGGCTCAGGGGGCTCGCGGGGGCCGCGGCCGCCCCGCTCCCGGCGCGCGGAGACGCCCTCCGCCTGCCCGCCGGCGCGCGCCGGCCTCTCCCGCGGGCCGGGGCGGTCCGGCTCGGCCCGGCCCAGCCCAGCCGGCCCCGAGGGCGGCCTCTTCCGGCGGCCGCAGAGGCCCCGCACAGCTCTCCCAGAGCGGGTGCCGAGCGGCCGCGCCCCGAGCCCCCGAGCGCCAGGGAAATGCCTGCACGGGGAAGGGAGGCGGTGGGGGAGGGACGGGGGGGAGGGGAGAGCCGGGGGCACGGGGAGAGCGGGAGCGGCGCGGAGGTGGCTGGAGGGGAGGATGCAGAGCGGGAAAGGCGGAGGAGAAAGGAGGGAGAAGCGGAATCGTTCCCCAGGCCTGGTCCCTATACTGGGGTCAGCCCCGCACGCCCCTCACTGGCCCAAGAACAAGGCTTCCAGACTCCACCCGCCCGCTGCCTGCTCCAGACCAAGGTGTCCGTGGAGGCCAGGGCCTTCCCAGAAGCCGTGCCTGGCCTGATGGAGAAGGAAGAGACCCGGAGCTTCCCCAGGAGTGCGAGCATCGTTGCGGGGGCGGGCAGGGCCAGCCGCTCCAGTTCAGAAAGCGTGCCCCTGCCCAGCGCCTGGTCCCTCTCCAGGTCCCTGATGCCTGCTCCTAAGCCAGCGAGTGGGCCCAGGGCCCCAGGTCCCCCGAACTGAACCAAGGTGGGGATCTCCCCTAGCCTGGTCTCCACATTCCTGAGCACATTCCGTCATGCTATTTATTGGTCTATGGATAGGGTCCAGCCTGGGGTGGGTGACCCCACAGATTTCCAGAGGTTCTGTTCCCACTGGGGCCCTGAAACCTGCCCAAGCCTTCTTTATCCAAGTTTGAAAGTTTTGTGTTTCTTTACCACCTGTCTTTTAGCATTCCCTTTTCATTCTCCAAACCTACACACCTGGCCGCAAGTGCCAGAGTCTGTGCAGAGCACCCACACCCCAGGCTGACACCCAAACCTCGCACTTGACCACTGACTCAGTTGCCTTTTCTCAGAGAAACCGAAGGTGTATCAAGGTGTCCGGGTGAAGATCACAGTGAAGGAGCTGCTACAGCAGAGGAGGGCACACCAGGCCGCCTCAGGGGGACCCGTAAGCATGAACTCCCCACTTAACCCCCACCTCATGTTTGTCCTCACCCCTGTCTGGAAGGTGGAGACCACCCTAGGCCCCAGTCACCATCCCAAGACCTGGCCTTCTTCAGCTGTTCTTATAACTTCTGTGCCAGCTTCATCCCAGTTCACCACAGGAAGCCACAAAGAATGGCTCGTGGTGCTCAGGATTTGAGGGAGCCTGACCCTCACTGATTATAGTTGAGTATAAAGGGGTCATTGGTCCTGTACAGGGAGAGGACCAGGCAGCAGGTAAGTAGATTGTCGTTCTGTTAGGAAGACAGTATATGTGCCCTCATGTACACGAAGGAATCTCTCCCAGAAATTCACTTCATTTGAGACAACCCTTCAAGGTGACAATCTCTATGGCACAACACCCCCTCCCTCCTCATTCTTCTGACCCCACCTCTGAGGTCATTTATCCACAAATCACCAGGCACTGAATGTGCCCAGCAGAAAGGGGCCATCTATCTGCAGAGGAGACAGCTTGGAATATAAAGCCACCTCGTGAAGATGTAATGAAGCCTGAAGCAGTTCCAGGTTATCACGAGTTTGATCTGGGCCGTTGTGAGGTCACGCTGCTACTGTATATACAGCCTAGAGTATACAGTGCTGCTGAGAGGCTCAGGGCAGCAGCAGCACCAAATGAAGCTGGGCTGCCCTCCAAGAGAGCAACTCACTAACCCTTGTTTGTAGGTTGGTTTGAGTGTGGCTGTGTGGATATAGCCCATGACAGTTAGGGCCCATATTGCCATTGTTAGGATTAGTCCTGGCTCCAGCTTATTGGCATCTAGCCTGCAGTGATTTTTGTGCCTGGTGCTTTTGTACGAAATGGACAATTTCATGAAATGAGCCTTTGTGGGAAAAAACAATGATGTAGAGGTAGCACAGATTCTAGAACCAGGGGACTGGGTTCAGGTCTCAGCTCCAACATGGGGTATATCCCTGAGCAAATCACTATCTTGATTGCCTCAGTTTCCTCATCTTTAAACTGGAGATAATAGGATTTTATGAGAGTTCCATGAGTTATTGCATATAAAGCACTTAGAAGAGTGTTTTCCTCTTAGTGCTTACCACTTACTAGTGCTTGATAAATGTTAGCTATCATTATTATTTGTGAAAAACAACCAAAATAAAATTACAACCATAGATTAAAAGCCAGATGTTGAATTTGTTGAATAATGTTCATTCATACCCCTTGCTCAGAGTTTAGAGTTCAGGTATGAGCTTGCTGTGAATGGCATGTACAGCACAAATTTTACATTTGCTGGAGCAGTCAGTACCTCTGTATGCAGAATTTCAGCTAACACAATAAACTTCCATTTGTAGAGAGTTTTACAATTGTTCTTTTAAAGCAATTTGGCACACACATTTCATTTAGTTCTTATAACAACCAGGGTGGTAAGTAGATCAGAGATATGCATGCCTCTTTTACAGCTAAAGTTCAGTCTTGCAGTTAATAATAATAGAGCTAAAAGTTCAGTCTTGCAGTTAATAATAATAGAGCTAAAAGTAGAACCAAGTTCTTCCTATTCTTAATATAAAAGACCTTCCCACCTTTGGCCCCCTACATTCATTTTTCTGCAGATCCAGCTGTGCTGAGCAGGAGTCTAGTAGCCTTAATCATCAGCCCCTTCAGTTCAGAGATGGCTATAAGTTTAATAAAACCAGTAACAAGGGAACAGGGAAATGCTTCTGGTGCAAAAAATAATAATTAATCATCAAGATGTTTATCCTTCATTAAGGAGCTTTGGTGAATGGTAGAATTCTGATTCAGCAGCACCTGGAGAATTCCCACTTAGAGGCTTGCTTTGGCCACTCTTCCCCTCTTAGCTAGCTACAGAATGAAAGTAAAGGTAAAAATTTCACTTGCGTATCTGACCAGTGTCTGCTCCCTGGAGCAGTTTGACTTATCTAGGTTTTTTCGAACTCCCCCATGAGGAACAGTAAAGCAGTGCTTCTGAACCAGCGCCTTTCAGGAACATGCAGAGCAAAGCCTTCTCTGCTCTGCTTCTTGGAAGATTATATCTGTCCGTGTCCTCACAACCACACAGGACTAACACACAGGTGACTTAATTATGAGAGGCAAATGTAAAAATCCCTCACTGAGAACCATCAGAAGGATCTGGCATTCTAAGAAAGCTCTAAGAGCCATACTCAGTAGGCAAGGATGGCAGATGGCAGGGGATAAATGCACACCTGCTACTGGGTGTAGATCTTTCTGGTTTAACAGAGATGATCTCTAATTTGTTCAGTGGTTGAACGACACCTCTGGGAATCTTTAAGCCAAGGAAAGAGTTAATTTTATCAAATACACAAAGTGGGGAGAAATTTATGTTAATTTGTTATAAAGTCAGATGAGTATCCACAATTTGGAACTTTAAGGAGATCGTGAATGAAGTTATAGATTGACACAAATAACAGAGTCTCAAACAATGCCAGAAAAAACTCATGCATGCCAGATTTGTAAATTTGGTAAAACTTATTTCAGCCAGATGAATTTACAAACAGTCCTGAGCACGCACGCACACACACACACCTTTTACCTTTAGGATAAAGGAAACTTAGTACTTACCAAAAGATATAATTTACCCATTTTTTACCTTTTTCTAAAAAAACAGTCTTGATTGTGCTTTTGTAAATTGTAGATGGTGGATTTTGTGCTGTTTGAAATGTAAGAGAGAAGGTGCTTTTCTTTGTATTCTTGGAGCAAAGTAGAAAGTGGACCCATGACTAGAAAGATAATATCAAGTAGGATATTGTAAACATACCTGAGGGCGATAACATGGGGAGGCAGGCAAACAGACCTTTTGGGTGGGGGAAGGAATGGGGTAAATGAGAGCCCTACAATGAAGCAGATTTTTTAAAGCCCACTCCTTCCAAGTCCTTTAGCTTAAACTGCAGCCAAGTATTTGCATAAACTGCTGGTGAGGGACTCCAGCTTCCTGGTTCATGACATTATAACACGGATCATTTTCAAAAGTAACACCACCTCCTGTTTCAGCAGAGGCTGGCTGTGCAGTTCCCCAGTGGCTCGGTGTACAAGAGTTAAGTATACCCTGTAACCCAAGAGGGGTGTGGTGAGCTCAGCTTCCCAGCGCAGAATCACAGTGCAATGCTGGTCCCTTTAAATTTTAAAGCCAACACCTGAAACATAAAAAACAAACAAAAGAAAAAATCCTAAATTAGTAATTATCCATTCAACTGGAAGATACAGGCTGAATAGTTAAAGGAACAGTCTCATAAACATTAAGTATTGAAATATAGTAGTGAAAAAATAAACTTTCATAGAAAAAAGTAAAAAGCAGAATTGAAATATTTTCCAGCTGTTTACTGGAATGTCATAGGCTCCAGCTCACTGACCACAGCTGTAAGGGAGTATTCTGTATTACAATGTTTCATGCCTAGTAAGAACATGTGAATATTTTTAGCTATCCAGGAGTAACAAAGTTAGGAATTGTGTCCTTTTGGGAAAACAAATTAGTAAGGCTAAGCAGCCAGACAGTATATGAAAATTTTGAGGAAAATGATTGACCAAGTCATAGATAGTTGGTATTAAATAAATGTTAGCCCTCACTAATTTTAAATAGTTTAATAGAAAGGCTCTTAACTGAGTTTTATGTAATATAGAAGTTGTTTATATTAATTTTTATCAAATTAATAGCCTTTAAAATTTAAGTGGGAGAATAATCCCCAAACAACTTAAAAATTGAATCTAAATAAAACATAACATTGGTTGTATTTTAAAGACTTTTTTTCAGAAGAAAAAATCTGGCTTACCTTACAAAGTTCACATCAAAATGCCTTAGCTTTCCCTTTTGAGAACTCTTATTCCACTTTGCTTTATGGTTGTATTCTTGTTTTGGCAGCTGTCCGGAGGCAACGGTGTCCACCTTGCAGACCCAGTCACACCATCTTCTGCAGGTCAGTGCAGTCAGCATTACAATTCTCTCAAAAACTCTTTCCAAAGTCCATCTGGAAAGTCTCTCAGTGCTTGATTCAGAGGTTAATATAGGCACCACCATTTAATTGGAATCCAACCAATCAGAAGGTGAAAAACACATAGTGACTCCAGATTCAAGTATAGCAAGGAAATAAGGGAAAATTTTCGTCCTCAATTCTGAGCTGTCTATTTTCTGCTGTCTAGTCTGTCCCGAGAGTTTATTCTTCATATTTCAGTTCCTCATCTCCAAGTAACTAAGCTTCACAGAAAGATCAGAATTGTTTTCAGAAATTTATCACTTTTAGTGTGCTCTTAGATGGTATATAGAACATCCTAAGATCCTAGAATAATGCCTTTGCTCATGTGCGTTTAGTTTCTAGCTGACAGGGGCTTCCCTCCCCTTCTTTTCTTTCTGCCTAGAAAGCAGTTCAAACAATTGTAAATTTCCTCAGCCCAATACGAATAACTCTATTACATAAACACTCCTACCTATGCCACTCAACTGCTAACAGTTTAAAGAGGTCATGCAGAAGGAAACCTGTGCTTATGGTAGCTCACCATTGAATGTGCCACTTTAACCTAACCTAACCTTAAATCCAGTGTTCTGTTTCCCTCTGATGGTCATACTATCCACCTGTTTTCTTTGAGCATTTAGGGATAACAATCAGAGCAAGTCTATTAATACTAAAATAGAAAAGAAGTCATGTTTTCAGAATTATTCTTGTTTAATATTTAACAACTTATTTTAGTTCCATTATCATGTTAACTTATTCACTAAGAAAACAGGTTTGCTTTTTGTAATTTAAAACAAGTAGTACTCATTTGTACTCTACATTCCTAGTTTCCATTTTATCAGTTGTATTGCCATTTATATATCACTCTTAAAAAGTTAAGATCCTGGGTAAGTGTTCTGAAAAGTTTAGGAAAACAGTAACCCTAAATCAAGAGATTACTTCCCATGGCATCATAAGTTTTCTTCTAGCCTCAAACATCTGTAAGTTACTTCTCAGAGAGGAGGTTTACTTGAACTGCAGATAGGTGCTGGATATTGATGCTTTCTAGTCCGAGAAAGTGCCAGTTGTCACAAGTTGGATCACTGTTCTTTTATTTTTGCCCTTGTCATATTTACAGACAAGTTCTACATTACTGACCAGACTCATTTCACTGGGACTTGAATTTGCAAAGCAACTAAAAAAGTCCAAATTGCCTGCCTGTTTACCTTTCTAGAAAGTCTTAAGCCTTTCTAGACTTTTACCCTAGACATAGTAAATATCCAAAGTATAGAATAAATTGCATTCAAATACATAAGTGCAATTTTTAAACAAAAAATATATATATTTTTCCTTCTCTTCTAGGACTATATTTTGAGCCTGAACCAATTTCTTCTACGCCCAATTATTTTCAACCCCGAGAATTTTCCAGTTGTGTTTCTCGTGAAGAGAACCCAAGCTGCCTCGACCAGATCTTTGATTCCTACCTTCAGACAGAGACACACCCAGGCCCTTCACTCAATTCCTTGCAAAATACTCCACACTATTTCCCTGACAGCTTCCAGGCTGCCCCTTTCTGCTTTAACCAGAACCTGGTAATTTATCTCAGTTCTTTACAAAATCTGATTGTTACTTACTATGGGGTAGTAATGCTTTGTAAGAAAGTTTGCATCATCTCATGAGAAATCACACAAACACTATCAACAAGGAAATTATTCAGGAAAGAAGCAGAGAACCATTTAAAACTTAATGGAGATAGAAACAGCCACACATTGCAGGGTGTACACTTTTGGATACACATGTAATTATGTGTGTGGCAATAAACTGAGGTTTCCTGGCAATATTCATTTAATGTTTTTGAACTGTAAGTTATGACATCAACTAATTGGAAATCACTGATTTAAACAATGGTCCATGGATGTCTGAGTTCTTGGACATGGAATTAAGGCTATGTCCACACAGTACCAAACTATCATTCTGGTAAGGGGTTTTTGTTTTACTTTGACATGTAACAGGCCCTATTAACTGGTTGTTTTGGTCTGGCATAGGCACAAGGACTCATTTGGGCCTCAGATGGTTAGGAAAAAAAGCCAAGTGCTACATTATTGAAAGAACTTGGATTGTATGTTCTTAATGGACCTTAGGTGCCTAAAAAATGTGTTACATAAATGGAGTAAAATTTCCATTAGTAGATACCAGTTGTTTTACATATCTTTTAGATACTTATATAGTTTTTTAAGCCTTGAAAAGTAAGTTTCTAAAGTGAATAATTTTTCTTTCAACTTGGCAGAAGTCTGTGTAGGTATCAAGACTAAATTTTAAGGGGTTAGGAAGTTAACTCCACAGAATATGCATACAGGGTGCCAATCATCCAGTTCCCTTCCAGCTTCCAAGTTAGGCTTTCTTACTAATAACTGTAAACCTTCCTAAGAGAAATAGAAGGTGTTACAGTACTCCTCAGAGGATAAGACCTTGACGCCAGTAAGAGTAGTTCCCCATCACGGAGTCTCCTGGACACGGGATCGTTGATAATGTGTGTGGTCACCTTGTCCTCCATAGCCAAGGGTGTGGAGGCACAACCACGGTGCTGCCTGCAGCATGTATTGTGGCTCACAGCAGGATTTGATGTGCAGGTGACTTGCAGAACAATGGAATTTTGTGGTTTAAGAACAAAGTATCCTCCAAAGTATGGTTATGACAAAGGAAACCAGTGAAGCAAGGTAACTTATTGTTTGGAAAGAAATAGGTAAATATAGAATGTGGTGTCATGAAATCCTGCAGTCAGCAAATAAATTACATCTGCAGACTTGGGCTGGGTTGAGTGTTATCTTGTGTTTTATCCCTAATGTTCTTACTCTGAATTAATAAATCCACTCTATTCTATCCTTTTAATCCTAAATTATCAAGCTCTTTGCTCCTTGGTTTTCATTTCTCTAGATCCCAGGATCGCCCTCAGATTCCTCCACTCTCTCTGGTTCCTTAGACTACAGTTACTCGCCGGCTCAGCTTCCTGCATGTGCTCTGGAGAATTACAATCTCCTGTCTTCTCTGGACACCAGAAACTGTGGCTATCCCTTAGAAGACTACTCCTACTCTCACCTGCCCTCACATGCCCAGCATGACTGCTTCTCCTCAGCCAGCACTTCAGTTTGCTACTGTGCATCCTGCGAGGCAGAGCACTTGGACACCATCAGAGCATCAGAGTATTTTTCCTATCCCAGCATGGACTATGTGAACTTTGCTCCTTCAGCAGTAACGACCAGCGATTTCTACAAGAGGGAAACAAACTGTGACGTCTGCTATAGTTAATAATTTAGAATATGGCATGTGTATATCTAGTTTTCTACCAAGCCAAATAATAACTCAAAATACGCAACCTGGTAGCAAAACATAACAAGCACAGCTTACATGTCACCATTTCCAGTTTTCTGATGCCAACTAATTTAGGCACTAATTTGAAGTCCACAGACCCAGTCATAGTGCCACTCCTACTTCGTATGCTTATGGTTAAAATTTTCATAGGGAACGGTCACTTGTTTAACTTTTCTGTGTAATGAACAAATTCTAATTTTTTTACTAATAAATAATTTTGTATTATTAAATATTGGCTTATTTTTAAAATTTTTCAAATGGTAGTTGCCATTTGGCTTGATTAATATCAGTTAATTCTGGAAGTCACTAATTACCCTTCAATAGTTTAATCTCATTTATTCATGAATTTAAAATTATTTTAATGTGGTGAGATGCTTCGGCTCCCGTAGGGATAGAGGGTAGACACGGCTGCTGCGAAGGCTACAAGGGGAAGTCAGCCTCACCCCTAAATGAGGTTGTCCTTGGGGCAACATCAGAGGAAGACATTCATGAATCATCAGTGTCATATCTAATATTAGTCTATGAAATGTTAAATGACCCAAAGCACATCTTAGCTATGGCAAGGTTAACCTGAAGATAATTCTCTTTGATTTCCAAAGTACTGGGCATATACATGATCTTTCCCTTGAGAGCTGCCATGTAGTTAATGATCACATTTATCATTGTTACCAGCAGAAATTTCTGAATTTCTGCCCTAGGTCCTTAAATATGCATGAGTGATCATGTTTACAGGTTGGTTTATTGGACTCACCATGTTGTTTACAGATGAATTTCAGAGTTTACTTCCTCTGATTAATCTATTCGAACAAGCTTAACCATCTTTCAAGGTGAAGAGGAGCTACTTAAGCTACCCAAACGGGATGATTCTGTTAAATCCTCTGTCTTGAGGGCAGTAAGGCACAAGGCTTCAATCCCTGCAGTGAAGCCTGGGGACATTTTCCATGTCCCAAGGTTCAGCACAAAGGCAGCAATACTGGTACCATCACCACTGGCACTGTCCACAGCTACCATTTTTAGCCCTTCCTCTGGGCCAGAATAGTCTAAGGGTTTTCTCACACATCATTTCATTTAATCTTCACAACACTGATAGCAAAGTGAGGAGTCTCTGGCTCAGAGAAGTTAAGTCACCTGCCCAGTGTCACTCAGCCATTAAGCACGAACTTTCAGGTCTGAAGATGCCAAAGTCATACTTTTAACTCTCTAATGGTGAAAAGTTTGAGCATCCATTTGTGAAAGACCATTCAAGAGTTTGTGTGATCACCCCATTAAATGCAACTTCCTCATATGCACAAAGGTGTGCCTGCATCACAACTGTAGAACTTTCCAGAAGGGCCTGACTGGCCACCACGCGACACTAAGATGCCAAGAGTAAGTTGCCAGAGTCCCTGACTCTGGGAACTGAGGGAAGAAAGCTGACCAATGCCACCAAAGTGAGCCTTTTTCTATCAGGGGCCTTTCCAAGTAACACCAATCTGATTATCCCTTCCCTGGGGGCTCCATTAAGGCTTGGGCAAATTGGACAAGTTGCAACCTCCCTCATGGAATAGCTGTGCCAGGGAAACAAAACAATTGCTGCCTTTATAAGATGCCAATAAAACTACATTTTGAATCATTCCAGTTAAATTATCTAGCTGCTCACACAGGCCAAAGTCCCATCCTCAGCAGCTGTCCCCAAAGGACAAAAAGCAGAGAACCAAAAGATGCCCAGTGGTTGGTACCAAAATATCCCTTTCCTGGATGCCATTCTTTTTTTTAACTCCCTACTCTCGACTGTCTGCCTTCTGAATCAGTTCCTTTGCAGATCTAACAGAAAGCATTTTCTACCTCCTGTTTCTTGTTCTTCCTTCAGCTGACCCTTAGTTATAGTACGCCTAAATATAGTGTGGGAAATAACTCTTAAAAGGATGTGAAACAAGGGCTAATATAACTACTGTGCATCAAAATAAATAACTCCACCTTAAATTGGTCTTTAAGATCTTTCCTCCTAGCACACGATGAAGTGGATGCACACTGTCCACCCAGTCTCTTAACTGCTGCAGCTCACAGGTAAAATATGAGCCAGTAGCATAATCTAGAGTACCTCTCATCAACATACCTGGGAAGCTGGATAAAATACAGGTGCCTATGTCACAACATGATTTGAGAAGTGTGCAGGGTCCAGGAATCTCACTTTTAAGTGCACCTAAGTCAGTTCTGATATTAGATGGTGTTCTGTCTATGCTTGAAAAACACTCACCTACCTATTCCAAGCCTGAGTTTTTCCCCTATAGGAACTAATAGCACAGTAACAATGGCTTACATGGACTAAGCTCTTCCTATGACCCAGCCCTGTGGGCATTTATCTCATTTAATTCTCAAACAACCACACAAGGTGGCTACTATTATCATCATCTTCATTTTTGTCAATGATGAAACTGTAGCTTGGAGAGATGAAATAACTTGCCCAAGGTCACACAACCTTCAAATCAGGATCAGAGTTCTCCAACTCAGGTTGTGTTATGCCAACAGCCACGGTATATTTTCCATGCATTATATCTGGAGGAATAATCTATTTGGAATTTGACCTTTGGCCTGAAAGTCACCTGTGTATCTGTAGCCAGTTCCTCATACCACAGAGGGCTAATAAGACTGTTAAATGGGAGTTTAAGTGGCTGAATTGTTTTATCATTTAGAACTATTAGAAAGATTAATAAAATAAAATATTAATTAAATACCCATGTGTGAGATATTACATGCCTTTAAAATGCAATCACAGGGTAAAAGAAGATGTGCTTTAAAATATTTAAAACTGGGGAGATTTCAGCTAGCATGCACATGGACTGATTTTCAGACCCTTGAGAAATCTAAATTGCGGGTCAGCCTTTTGAAGCCTGAGAGAGATAAGATGAGACAAAGTTGAAGGTAGTAAACATTTGCAAACTATTACCTCAAGCAGTGGCCTAAAGCAGTGACATCTTGGCAGCTGGCCTGAGCCCACAGGTGGACATCTGGAAGCAAGGTATAGATAAGGGTAATACTGGGACTGGAGGCAGGGACAGGAGGAGGGACTTGGAGATGGGGTGCTACCTTCTGATAGAAAATATTTTTTTAAATTATTATTCAATTTAGAAAGATCATAGCTAAGAAGAGAATCAAAACCAATGAAAAGTGTGAGAAGTATAGGTTAAATAAACACAGACCCATCATTTCCAAATCCTTGCACCCTCTGCAACCCCAGCACAACCCCTGTCAGGGCTGCTCAAGAAAGTAATTACCCTCACACTGCCTCCCTTCGCATTACAGATAAAGATATGAAGATGCCCTCCTTAGAAAATGAGATGTGGTCTGTGGCTATTTTGAAGTTCTGGGGACTATATCTTAGTGTGGCCAGACAGTGACCACAGAGCCAAGGGACTCTGCGCTTTAAAAGGCAAGGTAATTGAACCCCTTTCTTATGCTCCAATAGGCCTCTGGGTAAGACATGAGCTGGATGATGAGCAAGTCTGAGAGGACACAGATCTGCATGATAATAAAGCATCAAACACGCTCAGGACAGGAATATGTGTCCACTTAGAAAACAATTGCTCTTGCTTAATATGGCTAGAGAACATGCTGTTCATCCTTGGGAAATGTGGAAGGATGTGTGTGGTTGGTGGGGGGGGGGCGTGGAGGGAATTCATTTGTTACCACCTTGATGATCAGGTGGAAAGAGGAGACATCTGCCCTTTAACTTGTCCGGACTGGACCTGGAGTACCAAGGTTCCCAGGCCCCCACTTCCCTCCCCATTGTGTAATTCTTAGTTGAATAAGCCAGATTTCAAGTCCTAGGATCTCCCTGATAAGGGAACTGGTGAGTCCTTAGGAGACATCAATTTGTGGATAGGTGACACTTTTCCTAAAGGAGGAATAGGGTAAGAATTTCATCATTGTTGTGCAAAGGGTATGTGCCCTGCAAGGAAGGCTCCTCAGAGGACAGGGGATCTAGACTACAGTGAGGGGCTTCCTGTGATAGGCTTAATTTGGGGGTTTTGGGCTGTGAGCACAGTCCCATTCAGCTTTATGTTTGGATTTTCTCCTCCCACATCACAACTGCTATTGGTAACCCCAACTGTTCAGTGAAGTCTGATTCCTCACAGAGCTTTGGGGGGAAGTAAGGGGACTTGAAAGGAAAGTGTGCCCTGCCCCACTCACCCCTCCCCTCTGAGGCCCAAGCAGAGCTGGCAGCACCTAGTACACAGACTCGGGCCAGGGTGGGCAGGAAGGGACCTGCAGCCAGTGAGTGGCGGCCACAGTACACATCAGAATCACAGCAGAGGGCATCAGGTGAGACGCAGCAGCCCCGAGCAGCCAGAGGGTGACAGTGCTTGGACAGAGCTTAGGTCACTCAACTAGTAACTTTAGGACAAATTAAAGGAAGTTTTACCATAGTGGGTAATAAACTTAAAAAAAGTATTACCCCTACAAGTTGAACATTTACAGAGTTTCATGAAGGGTTGAGATTAATTTGACTGGTAATATTTTGGGCTGGAAAGGGACCCAGAGATGATATAGGTTAGTGGTTCTCCACTCTGGCTGCACATTACAATCACCTGTGGAGGTTTTAAAAAACACTGATGTCCCAACCCCAGACCAATGAATCAAATCCCTGGGGTGAGAGGCATTAGGAATTTTTTAACTATTTAATTTGAAATTACAGGAAGTTGCAAAAGTAACACATGGAGTTCTATGTCCCCTTCACCTGCTTTCCTCACTAACCGACATCTGAATAGCTATGTATACAGTACACCAAAATCAGGAAGCTGACTGGTACAGTGTGTTACCTAGACTACAGATGTTACTGTTTTCATCATTTTCTCATGCACCCATTTATGTGTTGTAGGTGTCTAGGGGTTTCTATGAAATAAGCATTTGTATTTTTTTTTTTTTGAGAGTGCAT